CGGTGACACTTAGGGTCACACAGGTGACACAGGTGACACAGAAGGTGACACAGGTGACACAAATGTCCCCACCTGGGGTCGGCCACCAGGCAGGCGGTGACACCGTGGGGGTGACACAGAGAGGTGACACAGATGACACAGGTGACACTCAGGGTGACACAGATGACACAAATGTCCCCACCTTGGATCTGCCACCAGGCAGGCGGTGACACCGGGGAGGTGACACAGGTGACAAAGGTAACACAGGGGGTGACACAGGAGGTGACACAGAGAAGTGACACAGGGAGGTGACATTGAGGATGACACAGGGGGGTGACACAGGTGACACAGAAGGTGACAAAGGTGACACAGCTGTCCCCACCTGGGATCCGCCACCAGGCAGGCGGTGACACTGTGGGGGTGACATTGAGGATGACACAGATGACACAGAAGGTGACACAGATGACACAGGTGACACTCAGGGTGACACAGGTGACAATGTCCCCACCTTGGATCTGCCACCAGGCAGGCGGTGACACCGGGTGGTGACACAGGGAGGTGACATTGAGGAGATGACACAGGTGACACAGATGACACAGGAGGTGACACAGGTGACAGAGGTGACAAATGTCCCCACCTGGGGTCCGCCACCAGGCAGGCGGTGACACCGTGGGGGTGACATTGGGATGTGACACTGGGGGGTGACATTGAGGATAACACAGGGGGGTGACACAGGTGACACTCAGGGTGACACAGGTGACAATGTCCCCACCTTGGGTCTGCCACCAGGCAGGCGGTGACACCGTGGGGGTGACACAGGGGAGGTGACACAGAGGGGACACTCGGGATGACACAGAGGTGACACAGGTGACACACAGGGTGACACTCAGGGTGACAGGGTGACACAGGTGACAATGTCCCCACCTGGGATCTGCCACCAGGCAGGCGGTGACACCGTGGGGGTGACATTGAGGATGACACAGATGACACAGAGGTGACACAGGTGACACAAATGTCCCCACCTGGGGTCGGCCACCAGGCAGGCGGTGACACCGGGGGGTGACACAGAGAGGTGACATTGAGGATGACACAAGGGGCATACAATGGTGACACAGGTGACACTCAGGGTGACACAGATGACACAGAAGGTGACACAGGTGACAGAGAGGTGACAATGTCCCCACCTTGGATCTGCCACCAGGCAGGCGGTGACCCCGTCGAAGCCCAGCTGTGGCGCTGCCAGCGCCGCGGCCGCCATGGTGTTGACGTTGTTGGGGACGAGGGGACAGAGCGGCCGCAGGGGACCCTG